TGTTCTTCAGTGCTAAGTTGGGAATTATGTCTTTTCTGTTTGAGTATAGGTATGATGCATTGACGTATTTCTTGTTGTACTTCCTCATTTAATTTTGATAATTTGAATGATGATTCTAATGAAGCACAAAAATCTGTTACTGAAGCGTCACCAGTATTGTAGTTGAGTCCTTTCTGAAGAAGTTGTTCTTCGGCTTTCGATAATGGTTGTTTCGATAGATTTACTACGCAATCGTTTAGAGTTTCTTCAGATGGTTGTTTGGATATCTTAGCTAGTTTTCCTTTGAGGACAGCTCGTCTTCGCTCCTTGTGCCGTTCGCTTATCATTTAATTATTATTATTATTATTGCTCCCTTGGGTTCCTAGTGGAACATAGGGCTTCAACTGCACGTCTACACTTGCTTCTGTCTTCTGCTATACTTTTCGCCTGCATCCATGTTAATCCATCTTCTTTCAACTCCTCTTCACACCATCTCCTCCATGTCACCCTTGGACGTCCCACACGCCGCTTCCCTTTCGGGTTCCACTCGAGGGCTTGGCGCGCGATGTCACCCAGCGGTCTCCTCAGCGAGTGTCCGATCCATCTCCACTTTCTCCTGCATATTTGTTGGGCGATTGGTTCTTGCTTTGTTTGTTCCCATAGTTTCTTGTTGGTGATTCTTTCCGGCCATCTGATCTTCAGTATTGAGCGAAGACAGTTATTAATAAAGGTCTGCAGCCTTTTGGAAATATTCTTTGTGACCCGCCAAGTTTCTGATCCGTATAGAAGAACTGACTTGACGTTTGTATTGAAAATCCGAATTTTGTTGGTGATGCTGAGTGACGAAGATTTCCAGATTGATTTCAGGCTGACGAATGTGTTTCTCGCCTTCCCGATTCTCGATTTGACATCCTCGTCCGCTCCTCCTGTAGTTGAGACAATGCTCCCTAGATAAGTGAATGAAGTAACCTCTTTCAAATCCCTCCCGTTGATGGTGATTGACGTTGGATGTCGTTGCTGTTGCTGGTTGGTTATTTTCATAACCTCCGTCTTGTCTATGTTTACCTGGAGTTCTGTCTTGGCTGCTTCTTCGACCAGTTTGTCGGTTTTCGCTTGTAAGTCTTCGATTGTGTGTGACATCAAACATAAGTCATCCGCGAAATCCAGGTCTTCTAGGTTCTTCACGTCGGTCAAGGATATTCCTGTCTTCTCGTTTCCCACAGTCTGACGCATAATCCAGTCCACCACAATTAGGAATATCAGTGGTGATAATAATCACCACTATCTGACTCCTGTGTTTACTCCAAACGCCTCGCTGAGTCTTCCGTTGTGGATCACTTGGCAGGTGCCGTTGTCGTACAGCTGTTGAATAAGGTTGATGAATATTTGGGGTACGCCATAGTACTCGAGTAATTTCCAAATTACTTCACGATCAACGCTGTCGAAGGCCTTCTCAATTTAATGGCAGTATTCAATGTTGACAGATGTTCTGGGGTAAGAGTCTGTTCAAGCTTCTCTTTCTGAAATCTAATCATATGCTGGTATTTTTTAATCCTATTGTGTGCATCCGTGATCATTAATTTCACCATTTGTTTTTCATGTTGTTTGGCTAACTTCCAGCCTAGAGGGCAGTTAATTGGTGGTTTATATTTGACAGAAGCTGGTAGGGTCTGCTGGCGGAGACATTCAGGAAGAAAGTATAGTTGTTCTTCTGTAGAAACTTGCCGTTTAGCAAAGTCTTCCCATTTTCGACACAAAAGAAGCGTATCACGGTCTTAATATTTTGAAATAATAGAAAAGATTTGTAACTCAGGTGGGTGATTTGCAATTAATAGTGTTCTCTGAGCTGGTTGGTTTATTTGCGGAGCTTTCGTCGTCTTTTTGGACGACATCTGTTTACTTACGTTAACAAGAGAACAACTAAGCGGTTCATTGCTACAGAAAGAACAACAACAACGACAAAAAATTGAAGTATATCTTTGCAATCTATACGAACTGACCTATAAAGTACATCAATAATAGAGATCTTTTTATTCGAATATTTTCCTCCAGGAATCAACTTTCTTTGTACCCATGAAAAATTGACTTTACTCAACTTATTTAACCTATCCTACAGGAAAGCACTGAGATTTTAAGTCTGAAATCGACACTGATGATAAAGTAGGATATTGCTGAAAATCTTTGAAGCAAAAAATGCCACTTAGAAATAATAATTTCGATTCCCATCATCCTAGATTTTTGCACAAACTGTCTTTTGATAAGTAGTCAAGGTATCAATTTTAAAGTTTTCAAATGAAATTATAAGTGTCTTAATCGCATGACATGAACAATTAATGAATATGTAGGGGAAAAATCCACATTTAGACATTTAGAAGGCAAGAGGACTGAGAGGAGAAATATTTGCTCTTCAGTTAGATCCTCATTTCTGGATATACTCATAGAGAATCATTGGAAAACCAGCTGGGAGTACTGGAAAGCTAGCTGTTTCGTCAGCCTACTTTCGGATTCTTTATCAGCACGCACCCACCGAGAGGGGTTCGAACCTAGGACCTTCTGGTTACAAGGCTAGCGAGCTCGTAGACCATTAAGCCACTGGGACCCACCCAATCCAATGTTCAGCCAGCCCATGAATTCTAACTTCTGCCAATTCACGATATAGCGCGACCCCTAGCCAATGTCTTTGGCGAGTATTTGTCCTCACACCCGACCTGGTGCACCCTACTGGTCACGACTTCTCACTAGAGCCCCTACTTGAATAGGGCAAGTCTGGAGGCGATAAGTTTGTTAGCAATAATTAGTCAGTATCTACATGTCAGGGAGGTGATAAGTAAACAAGAAAATTAATACAAACAATTTAAAGGGTGGATTGTGTTATGCATAATGATGGAAAAAGTAAAGAGTAATTAAAGAATAAGTGGGTGTTCAACTTGGTTGCGTACTATGCGATTAAAGATGAAAAAAATCGGAAAAATAAAGTCATTTGGACAATTTTAATTTTTAAAGGTGTAAGAGTATGGCGAAATAGTCACGTTCTTGCATTCATGTAACGATGGCCAAGGTAAGGAATGTGGCTGCACGAATTTCTTCTGAACACATTGGTTTGACTTCTTTAACATGGATTCCTATAGCTTCAACTGCATATTGGATATGAACTCGTAAAGCAAAATTGGGCCAAGTTAAACTTTAAACGCCAGTAACTACCAATGGAGTGCGACCGCACCAATGACCTTGGAACGCCCACTGAGCAAATTAGTGAAACCCGGCAAATAATGTTATCACTATCAATAAAATATGCTCATCGAAGTTTTATGCTATTAAATTGGATATCTGGCAATTCTTAGCTTAGGTTTGGTAAAGATTAATTTACGCTTTAACCCAAGGACAAGTTAGGGTTTCGTTAACTTAATTAAGGCGACATTAGGGTTAGTTCAAGTTAGATTAGGATTAGTTTAGGCATATTTTCACGTTAGGGTTAGGTTCAAGAAAGATTAGGGTTATTGTTAGGGTTAGACGACCTCAATAACTACAGGCATAGAATGTGGTTAAATTACTATGTTGATATAAGATACTTATGCACTGTGGTAGAGTGTAATTCCATTGTGGGTAATATTTATTTTGATACCGTCTCACAGTGTTATACAGCAATCTTTACTGATTACGTTTCGAGCATAATTCATTGCTCAGTAGATATTACTGTATTACACTATGAGACTTTATCAAAACAAATTTTACCCACAATGGAATTACACTTTGTTGATACTCCAACCTAAAACTGAGATCTACTTTTATCACATGTGAGAGAAAGGTGTCCTCTGTAACACTTTTTTCTACAGTTTTGATGGATTATTTCATAAATAAATGTATTCAATACACAAAAATTCCTCCTTCAGGTGATTGGTGCCTTCGAGGTCAGTCATTTTCTGACTGGTAGTTAGTGGTGCTTAAAGTTTAAGAATGATGTTTGGAGATACAACGGTGAATCTGACTAATTGTATGTCCAATGTGAATAGCTGTGCATGAGAAGTCAGACTGGTGGATAGACATGGAGAAGGTGAAATTAGGTAGTTTGTCCTTATTTCTTGAACGTCAAATCCGAGTGGCTGTGAAAAATGGAATTAAAACAGTATTCATTGCAGCAGAAGTACGCTGTCTCCTAAAAATGTTATATATATATATATATATTAGAGTAGAGCTAGAGATGAGGATCTAACTGAAAAGTAAATATTTCTTCTTCTCTCAATCCTTTTGTCTTCTAAGTTAACGATGAATAGTTTCTTAAAAAGTGCGTCGGTGGCACAGTGGTTAGGACACTCGCCGACCATGCACATGATCCGGAGTTACATCCCCGGCCACAGATGCCTCCTTTACCTCGATAAGCCATAAATAATGCTGGTAAATAGGAAAGATTGGGCATGAGGCTAGCAACCCCATCCTGTAAAAATAAACACTGCTACAGAAACTTCAAGCCACTAGCTTGAAGCCTTATGTTCCACTGGGAACGTGAAAGAAAAAAAAAAGACTTTCTTAAAAGGCAACGATCAAGAGACGAGTTTAATTTTTAAAGATGTTAAAACTCATGAGGTTAAATTTGTTTCTTACTATGCTCATTTCAGAATATTCTTTGAGTAACTGATTATAAAACACTTTAAAATGTACCTCTGTAGCCATTAATCAATCGTCAAAATCGTACACATATGACAGTGTTATCAACGTTATCAATAATCAACACGTCATCATATCACACACATCTTATTAACCAATCTCTTTAATAAATAGCATAGATCAATACTGTTATTGTTGATATAAGATTCAAGATAGGTGACTCCCTAGTTTACTACTAATAGACACAATGATGAAATATGTGTAGTTTGTACAGTCAGTCATAGGAAGTTGCAAATCTAAATTTTCACTTATTTTCTTCTCGCTTATTTTTCAGTTTCAAGCTGGAACATTCTATCGACAAAGCTGAAAAGACGGGATAAAAACTGGACTGTTTCTGCAGGTATCCTTCAAATATAACAATGCCTATTAATCATGATGGTTTCGCCCTATCATCACCATCGTCATCATTATTAATATCTGATATCAATTCGCATAATCATGAGAAAAATTGGACAAATCTATATGATCCTGATGTAAAAAAAACGAAAAGTATCGCTGGCAATCCTCCAGTGGATTATTCTATGCATTCACCAACGCATGAATATAAAACCTCAGCGTTTACATCGGTCACTTCATCAGTTTTGTCAAGATCAAATTATAATTATAGTGTAATTCAGCCATCAAGCTATGCGAATGACTGCGGTAATTCAATGTCATCGTGTCATTTAAGACTTATACCGAAATGCTTAGATTACAATTTGAAATCATCTAGTGCTAATGATGATGAGCGTCCATTGAAACGTAAATATTCTAGAAGTAATTCAAATACTACTGGAAAATACAGTGGAAAGTACTTCAGAACCAAAATTGGTGATAACAATGAGTTGAATTATAACAATAAATTGAATGACACCGATCAATCTACTACTGGCAATGAGTCAAATAATTATAACACCGATACTACGAGTAAATTATTAACTGAAACCTATCTGTTAACAAAACATTCTTCTCATAAAACTATGAATACATCAGTGAGAAAAGATACAAAAGTGGATAAAAGTTTGACACATAAAGAATCAAATATTTTAAATAAAATGAAGACGCCAGAGTCTGTCTCTTCATACTCGAAGCCAAACACTCAGGTTAAAGAAGAAGATGAAGCAGTGATCAATACTTCAAGGTGTAATACAAATGATAAAGAAAAAAGTACAACAGTTTCTGGTGCAGCTTATAAATATTTAACATGGCGTGAAAAAGATCGTAGACGAAGATTTCGTGAAGAATGGAAACATTTATGGCTTGTTATACCACATGGACTATATGAGGTGGGTTGAAGATATTGATTAAATGTATTTCTGACTATTTTTTCTGCATAGATGCTTTGATGACAAACATTTCTAGTGATTATATAGTTTCTTTTTGAAGGTTAAATAACTGAAAGGCATAGATAAGAATTCAGTATACAATATTCGTGGTTTCCATTAATTCTATCCATGAGGTGCAAACGTGCGTCAGTGGTTCAGCGATAGAATAATCGACAACCATACCTATTGTGGTCTGGTATTCGATTCTCAACTGGCGTGCACCTTTACCTACTTTAGTCCGTTGTAAACCTGACCAGAATCGCTTGTAATGCATAGAATATGTCATCCAGCTAATTAAAGGCACTAATACACACAATTTGTATATTAAGAACTCCAAACGAAAATTAGAAAATACTCAGAGTATATCCTATAAACAGTACTAATTTAGCTGAGTTCTACTCAAACCCGTCAATTAGATTACGTCAGTGAAATTGCTTCTTCAGTCTTACTTTAATTTCTAAACAATTAACGAAATTTTTTAAAATCTAAAATCTACAATTCTAGTAATTTTATTTTAGTTTCTACTAGATTAACCGCTTCGGCTCGGCGGCAAGCAGTAGAATGTTTGGCAGCTGCTTGCTCATGTGGTTTGGGGTTTGATCCCGGCTGACGTACTTCTTTACCTCAGTAAGCCAGTAATACGACTGGTAAAAAAAGAGAAGGTTGGGCATGAGGCATGCATTACCATCCAGTAAAAATAAAAACACAATTGCTGTCGAAACTTCAAATTTCTAGCTTGAAGCAACTGGGAACTTAAAGGAACAAAAAAATGCACCCAAAAAGAGTGCAGGTTGTACTTATGGGAAATGGAAGCTTGTCTTGCTTTCCCGATCCTAGTTTTGATATCCTCGTCAGCTGCACCTGTAGTTGAAACGATGTTTCCTAGGTAGGTAGGTAGGTGAAGGAGGTTGTCTCTTTCAGATTTCCCCCATTTATGCTGATTGTAGTCTGTTGTTGTTGTTGGTGGTGTCACTGTTGGCCAGGAATCTTCATCACCTACCTCATTTTTCTCTATGTTCACTTATCTTTTCCCTATCTTTGATGCTTCTTCTGCCAACTTGTTGCTTTTCACCTGCATATCTTCCAATTTGTGGGAAATCAGACATATTTATAATCGGCGAAGTTCAGATCCTCCAAGTTTTTTGTGTGGGTCCATTTTATGCCTGTTTCCTTGCTGCCCACTGACTATCTGTTGCATTATCCAGTATACCGCAATCAGGAAAATCAGTGGAGATACTAGGCAGTCAGCCAGCAAGCCTTGTCTTACTCCCATCTTCACTTCTTGGAAGGATTCCGTGAGTGTCCCGTTGTAGATTACTTGGCATGCAGCATTGTCATACAGTTGTTGGATGAGATGTATAGTTGTCGGCGGCACCCTTGGTAGTAGCGAAATAGTTTCCAAATCACCTCTCGATCGATTCTGCGCTATCGAAGGCCTTTTCAAAGTCAATGAAGTTGAGGGTGAGAGGTGAATGCCATTCCAAACTCTGTTCACTGATGATGCGTAGTGTTGCTATTCGGTTGATGCACGACTTGTTTCTTCTGAATCAATGTATTCGCATGGCTTCATAATTTGTTTTATGCAGTCTTTTTAATCCCTCTTTTTTTCATCGCAACATCTCTTCCGGATATATGAGAACTTATACAAGGAGGATTACAAAAACTATGTAAATCAACTAGGAAGTTGTGGGAAAACAGTGATATAATTATGAACAATAAATCGTGTTATAAACGTGATCTAGTTGTTAATACTGTATTACTCTGTATTATATCAAGTAAACTGAAACAGTAGCTTTCCCATTTCACATTTAATTTAGACGTCGTTATTATCTACATCTTCTAGGAAAGATGGTTATCCACTTAAAGAGGTAATTTTCTATCACTCATGCGGTGTCAACTGAAAGGTACTGAAAATTAGTGAAAAACCCATACTATGATCTGTCTAATACTATAAATAGTAATCAAGGGAAGCAAGCATATTTACGTGAACCTATATACTACTGATTGATGTAGATAAGTAGTTATATACCAGCTCATATCAACTGGTGGCGCTTTCTAGTCAATTTGAGGTGATCTAAACGCCGGATGGATGTTTCGCTTGTTTGCAGCCGAGCTGTTCGCATTGCAAATTTCGTACATTTGATTTATGGTTTAATGCCAGACTTCGTATAAGTAACTAACAAGAAGTCGAGTGGTGTGATCTGATTCGGATGTGCGAGCCGAGTCAAACGAGTATACCGCTAGTGAAATAGGTGCGATTTGAGCGACATAACCGCCAAGTACTTAGATCGCTTCAATTTGGCTGGATAGCAAACACCACTGCTTGACTGATATGAGTAGTATACGACTACTCACTTCGGTCAATCAGTAGTGCATAGATTTATGCAAACCATGAAATATTCTTCAATTTAGTGTTATACCTTCCTAACAGTTGACTTCGGCGACTTATTAACAAGTAATACTGACGACGTTATGACATTCTCTAAAGGATGTTTAAAGACTCAGACAATAGGCCCATTCACTTCTACTTCCTACTGATATTTCTTTCTATATACATATTCCAAGACCTCGAATTCCACCATCGAGTCAGTAGTGATACAAAATAAATACCGTTGCAATATATTTGTTTGTGAATTGCTGCCGAATCGAATGAAGAAAGCGGTTAACTTCCGTGATAGGCACTTTCATGTAGGTTTTCGTTATGAGCCAACATCTGTTGGAGAGAAAAAATGAAAACCATGGAGCACTGAAAAGCTGTTTCGTCCTATTCTACGCCTCTTCATCAGTGCACATCCATGACCGCATCAATGATCAAACCCAGGACCTTCATGTTACAAAAACGAGCTCGTTGACGATTGGACCATTCGTTGAGCAATCAGCGAGATTTTCAACTTGGATGAAAATCATAGAATTATGTCTTACAACATGCTTCCAATTCAGTAATCAAATATACGAAGAGATAAAAGGAATACAGATAGGATCGCCAGTATCAGGGTTAGCAGCTGAAGCCGTTATGCAAAGATTAGAACTATTATCTCTTACCAATTAAATACTAATTAAATGCCCAGACATCGTCGAAGCATCTACACAAGAAGCCGATATGTCAAGCTGGGACCGAGAGCTTCGGTCCAATCACTCGACTGGAAACTCCGAAATTAAATTAAATTAATATGATCCGTTGCACAAGAGGTGGCTCTCGTGGCCCAAGTGGTCTAGTGGATAACGCTCTGGCCCTTGAAACTATGGGCAGTGAGTTCGAGCCTCGGTGATAACATCACCACTCACTGAGAAATGCAGGAACATCCAGATGACGAGTCCCAAATAAGACGAAATGCACCTTATCCTGGATTCCACTGCTAGTCACCATCCACCAATTAAATACTAAAATAAAATTATATCCCTACCTACCTATAATTAAACCAAAAATCTGAGTATGTTACGTTGATGACATAAATGTAATAATTTAAAGAAATGATTTGGAATATACCCACAAATTAATAAACAACATATCTGAAAACATTCAATTCACAAGAAAAGAAGAATTAGACGACAAAATTCCATTCTTAGATGTCGTAATCAAGAGAACTAACACAGAACTAACTAGAAACACAAATACACAGAAAATCAACGCACACAGATCAAATCACTCAAATATAATATTAATAACCCAACTACACAAAAAAGAAACTGTGTACAGACATCGTTTAGAAGAGTTCAAACACACTGTAGCCCTACTCCAGTGTTGAAGAGAATGAAGGAAACATACCACCAAATGACCGTCTTCATAAAGAACGAATGGATGTCCTTACAACTTCATCAAAAAGTGTTCAAACTCGACTCACAACACCAGCAGTAAGCCATCATCAAAGACCACAAGAAAAATCATCATACCATACATAAGATGAAATATCTCTGAATTAACAGCTAGAATATGAAGACTGTTTGAAATAGATATAGTACACAAGCCAGCCAGTCAGACAGCCAGCAAACACAATCACTTTATTCGATATTGTGTAAACTGAAAGATCCAACTGAAAAAAAGATCAAATCAATACCATGTACAAAATAAATTGCATGCATGAACTGCAATAAACATTACATCGGTGGTCGAAGTGGACGTCCCCTTCGGATCAGAATCCAAGAAAGTAAATTAGCTGTGAGAGGACATGATATATATTCTTTCGTATCAATGCATGTGGATAATTATGGACACCGATTCGATTGAATAATGTTGAAATTTTAAATAGAGGAAACACCGAAAGTTATGCCAGTCAGGGAATTCCTAGACACCTGTTATTCAAGTGAATCAACACATTATTATAGACGAAATTTACCAGCTAATAAAAAGTGAATCAAATGACAAGAAAGTTCGAATCCCAAGTTAATAAAGATGATCAATAGACACATGAATTAACTACCAGTCAGGATAATGGTAGCCAAGAGATACAATTACATTATTCATTGAGAATTTCAATGGGTACTAAAACCTGTGCTAAAGGGTGATGTTGTCTAGAAGGACGACGAAAGATTTTCAGTTAAATTAGCCAGCTGAGAGAACACACCTGCAACAGTGGTGTACCCCACCAGGCAAGACTTCCCAGTAAGTTCATGCACTAGTTACCAATGTGCTGGAGATTGATCTCCAGATTATAGACTTTCGTAGGGACTAGATTGCCGTCGCAAATCAAAATCAGATAAAGAGAGATCATCGAAAATATCGAATTACTGGATAGTTTTTTCTTTCTCTTCCATGATTCTTCATCAGTGTGTGGGGATGGAACTCACGACCTTCAAGTTACGAGATCAAGCTGAAGTTGAAAATCCAAAAATTCCCACATATCCTATAATATGAAAGCTCAGTTTATCATACATACAGTCTCTCTCTCTCTCTCTCTCTCTCTCTCTCTCTCTCTCTATATATATATATATATATATATATATATATATATATATTATTGACT